AGGAATTTTGACATGGAGGATTTTCATATCTGTCTGGAGGAGGCTGAATTATTTGATATTTCGTATCAAGGGTGTCAATTTACTTGGATCCAGAAACCTTCGGGGGGAGAGGGTGTTATGAGAAAACTTGAACGTATTTTGGGCAATTCGAATTTTATCTCTAGATTTGGGGATGCTTCGGCTTTCTTTGAACCTAGGGGGATTTCTGACCATTCCCCGGGCATTCTTTCTTTCCGTATTGGAAGACGTATTCGACAGCGTGGCTTTAAGTTTGACAATTTTGTGACCTCTCATAAGGACTTCCTTGCTTCGGTGGAGGAGGTATGGTCGAAGCCTCAGAATGGTTCTTACATGAAGAGGGTTCTTCGGAAATTGAAAGATCTTAAGGTGGTTTGTCGGCGTCTCCGTAATTCGTATGGCTGTTTGGATAAAAGGGTTGTTCAGCTAAAGACGAAACTTGATGTTGCACAATTGGCTTGTGATCTTGACCCGTTTAATGATTTGCTAAAGGAGGACATMGCTCACYTCTTATTAGCTTATCAAGAAGCTAGGAGTAATCAGGTGGAATTGGCTCGACAAAAAGCGAAGATATCTTGGCTAAATGAAGGGGATGGTAATTCTAAATTCTTTTTTCATGCTATGAAAGAAAAGCGCAATCGGAACCATATAGCCATGATCAGGGACTCGGATGGCGTAATCTATGAGCATCAGGAGGTATCTACGGCTTTCATTTCTCATTTTAAAGGGATTCTTGGTAGCTCTAATAGTCTGGTGCCTTCATCTATGGGGGATTGTGTGTTTCGTCATTCTTTATCATTATCGGACTCTCTTCATTTAATTCGTCCAATTTCGGATTTGGAAATAAAGGATGCTTTATTTGCTATTGGAAATGATAAAGCTCCAGGCCCTGACGGATATTCTTCTAAATTTTTTAAGTCAGCTTGGAATGTGGTAGGGAGGGATGTGCTTATTGGGATACATAATTTCTTCTACTCTGGAAAATTGGAGTATCAGCTGAATCATACCCTTTTATGTCTTGTGCCGAAGGTCCCTAATGCATCTTGTGTTACTGAGTTTCGGCCTATTGCTTGTTGCAATGTGTTGTTGAAGTGTATTAGTAAGATTATTGCTGATCGGATGAAAGGTTCGCTGGATGTTCTTGTTAGTAAGGCTCAATCTGCGTTCATTCCTGGCCGCCAAATCACTGATAATATCTTAATGGCTCATGAACTAGTTGCTGGGTATCAGAGATCGGAAGGAGAACCTAGATGTGCTTTCAAGATTGATATTCGTAAGGCATATGAYACARTTGAATGGAACTTTCTTTTAGAGATGCTGAAGGGAATGGGTTTTCACCCAGTCATGATCAACTGGATCAAGACTCTGATCACGACTCCCTCTTATTCTATTTGTGTAAATGGACAGCCGAAGGGTTTTTTTCATGGTCAACGGGGCCTTCGACAAGGCGATCCTCTCTCCCCTTATCTGTTCACTGTTGTTATGGAGGGTCTCTCGATGCTTCTTTTGAAGTGTATAGAGGAAGTGGTTAACTTTTCGTATCATCAAGGTTGTGCGGATATTAAATTGACTCATTTATGCTTTGCTGATGACTTGTTTATCTTTTCTAAAGGGGACATTATTTCAGTGGAGGTTATTAAACGTGGTTTACTATTGTTTGAAGAACGATCGGGCTTATCGCCAAGTCTGGAGAAGAGTGAGGTGTTCTTCGGGAATGTTTCAATGGAGGATCAGGGCCGTATTCGTGATAGTTTATCTTTTCGGCCAGGGGTCTTCCCTATTCGTTACTTAGGCGTTCCTCTTTCTCCGGTTCGTCTGAAGGTACGTGATTTTAATCCCCTTGTGTTAAAGATTAAATCTCGTCTGTTAAATTGGAAGAATAAATTCCTCTCTTATGGAGGGCGTCGTCAACTAATTATCTCAGTTCTCCACTCTATGCAAACATTTTGGATGTCGGTATTCCTTGTACCGGCAGCCACGATTCATGAAATTGAGAAGCTTTTTCGAAATTTTTTATGGAATAAAGCGGAGGGCCAGAGGGGTAAATGTCGAGTTGCTTGGGATTCTATTTGCTTGCCTGTTCAGAGTGGGGGACTGGGTTTGAAAAGACTTGCGACCTGGAATAGGTGTCTTCTTTTCAAACATATTTGGGATATTTTAAGGGAAAGAAATACGATGTGGGTCTCTTGGATTCACTCTCACTGTGTTCGGGGCCGTAACTTTTRGGTCATCAAGAAAAGGAATGAGTGGTCATGGATCCTCCGGAGTCTTTTAGACTTAAGACCTCATTGCCGACGWTTCTTTATCTATGAWGTGGGTAATGGCTTATCTACGCATGCTTGGGAAGATACATGGAGCGAGTTGGGACCACTTATTCAGTCTTTGTCTTATAGATTTATCAATGGGCAGGGTTTCCACAATAATTCCACGGTATATGTAATGCACAGGTTTGGTTCTAATTGGCCGGAGGATTGGATTCAACAATATCCTCAACTGCAAAATGTTCTTATTCCATCTCCCAGTCAAGTGGAGGATAAAGTACGATGGCTTGATAATAAAGGTGCTCGGGGTGATTTTCAGGTAAAAGTGGCTTGGAAGACTATACAAGAGGTGACTCCGGTTGTGCATTGGTATAAATTAGTTTGGAATAAAGCTTTCATCCCAAAACATGCTCTTTGTATGTGGATGGTTTGCCAGAAGAAATTGCCAACCCAAGATCGTATAAGTCAGTGGAAGCATGAACCACCGGATTTAAAATGTGTGCTCTGTAAATTAGTGATTGAAACGCACAATCACTTATTTTTTGAATGCACTTACTCTCGCAGTATTTGGGAAGGTATTAAAATGGAGGTGGGATTAACGAACTATCCGAACAATTGGGAGGATATTCTTCACAGAGGATCCACTCAAACTTGGAAATCTTGGTCTACGGTTCAAAAACTTGGATTATCGGCAACGGTTTATAATATCTGGAGGGAACGAAATAGGAAGTTCTTCGACAATTTCAATCATTCGGAGGATAAAGTTATTGAGGWGATCAAGATGCAGATTCTTCATCGAATGGCTTGGAAGACAAGGAAGAAGCTTTTGAATTCCAATGATATGTGACTTCGAGGGTGGTGCTTCTTCTTGGTTTTGGATCTTTCGGGTCTTTATTGCCTTTTATTTTTTGGCGGGTGGTGTTGTTTTGTTTTGGTGTATTTCCCTTTGTCATTTTTGGCTGCTTATGACTTGGTTTGTAAGTCAAAGTTGCCGTAGTTTCTCTTGCTGATTGCTTTTGTATTGGTGACGCTTTTATTGTCTTTATAAAATTGCCTGGGGAATCCCTTCCCCTTTCAGTAAACCGCTTAGGAGCTAAAGAGACTAATTATGACCTAGTTAGTGTCATTTCGACCGAAATGGACTTATAAAGAGAAATGGGCCCATTATATCCCTTGAGAATGTTTGCTCCCGTACTTTTGGTCGTTGGTCTTGGATCTCAAACCAGATGGCATGTGACTGTGGGAACCGTCTAATTCTTGCTTGGGATGTACGGGTTCTAGATGTCATGGTTCTTAAGGTCCACAAGCAATACTTGAATTATGAATTAAAATTCAGGGGAGGCCTAGACCCTATCTTCGTTTCCTTTGTTTATGAGGCCAATAATAGCATTAAAAGGAGGGAGTTATGGTCTGGGCTTCGGAAGTTCAAAGTCTTGATAGGATCTAAACCTTGGACTGTTATGGGTGACTTCAATGCCATGTTGTTTCCTCATGACGGTTTTGGGGGGGGTCCTCTCGCCGTAATGCTGATATGTCGGATTTCTTTGCTTGTGTGGAGGATGTGGAAGTTTTTGATTTACATTACACGGGTATCCATTTCTCTTGGAACCAAAAGCGAAACGAAGAGGGGGGAATCAAGCGCAAACTGGATAGGGTCCTGACTAATTCGGAATTTACTTCTATGTTCCATGATGCCAATGTTCACTTCTTACCTTCTGGGCTATTGGGATCACTCTCCGGCAATTTTATCCTTCAAAGGAGGAACGCGGAAAAAGAGTTGGGACTTTAAATTTGATAATTTCTTGGTGGAGCACCCATCTTTTCTTGCAGGTTGTGAAGGATGAATGGTCAATGCATGTAGAGGGGACCTTTATGTTTCTGGTGACAAGTACTTGAAAGCCCTCAAGACCCCTCTACGAAAGCTCCGTAATTCTTATGGCAATCTCACGGTTCGGGTGTCTTTCTTGAAAGCAGAGTTAGATCAGATACAGTTGGCGGTGGACAACGACCCCTCAAATATGAATTTGGGCCTTGATCTTGGTCACCTTCGTCTTGCTTATCAAAAAGCTTGCTGGGATGAGGAATGTGCTGCCAAACAATGAGATTTTCTTTGGGAATGTTCTATCTAATAATAAGGAGGCCATTCTTGAGTGTCTTCCTTTCAAGCTTGGTTCTTTTCTCTTTTGGTACTTGAGAGTTCCTTTATCCCATTCCCGTTTGAAGTCAGGTGATTATGGCCCTTTGGTTGCTAAGATGAAGGGTCGCATTCTCAATTGGAAGTCTAAGTTCCTTTCCTTTGGAGGGCGAAGACAACTTATTATCTCTGTCCTTCAATCTTTACAACATCATTGGATGTTTATGTTCTTGTTTCTTTCTAGGGTTATCCATGATATCGAAACTATCTTTAGGAAATTCCTTTGGGCTCTAAGGGAGGAACCTAGAGGCAGGTGCAGGTTATTTTAGGAAGTGGTGTGTCGGCCTCTTGCGAGTGGCGGTCTTAGCCTTGGGCGTTTGGTAACATGAAACAGGGCGTTACTTGCTAAGCATATATGGGATATTGTGAGGCACCATAACTCGTTGTGGGTAAGATGGGTGTACCATAATAATCTTAAATCTTTGCACTTCTGGATTGTTCAGAAAACTCCAATTGGTCGTGGGTTCTGCGCAAGCTGTTGGATTTACGACCCCAATTACGACGTTTTCTAATCTCCCAGATTGGTGATGGACGGAATTCTAATGCGTAGGAGGATACTTGGCTCACTTGTGGTCATCTTTCTTCTTTCATCTCCTACAGATTCATTCATTCTTGTGGATTTTCGATTGACACTTCGGTTAGGGATTTAATTCTGAGTTTGGATGGGGAGTGGTCGACTGATTGGTGTAACAGGAATGATGAGCTTACTACTTCTCCTTTGCCGTCTTTGAATGACTCCGTTCGTGATAGAGTTTTATGGGTGGATAATAACAACTCTGGTATGGATTTCACGGTTAGTACTGCTTGGTCTTCTCTGGAAGGGAACCATCTGGTTGTACCTTGGTATAAATTGGTTTGGTTCTCAGGCCATATTCCCAAGCATGCTTTCTGTCTTTGGCTTGCTTGTCATAGGTGTCTTCCTACCCAAGACCGTATGCTTTGGAAAGATGAACCTCCAGACTTGGAATGCTCACTCTGTAGCACTTGCATGGATAGCCATTCCCATCTATTCTTCCAGTCTTCTTTTTCAAGAGAGGTTTCGGATAGCATCTTACATGTTGTGGATTGGATGAATATGCCAGACTCGTGGGACCAAATCATGGAAGTTATTTCAGACACGAGGCGATCGCCAAAACGTTTAATGCAGAAGCTAGCTTTTGTGGCTTCAATTTACTACATTTGGCAAGAGCGAAATAGAAGACTCTTTATTGAGAATCGTCGCACAGCTGTGCAACTTATAAAGGAAATATGGAGCAAAATTTCCATTCGTGTGGCTTGGAAGGAGAGTCGAGTTGAGTGGAGTGGTGTTTTAAATGAAGGGTGAGGTATTGATTGGGGGGGCTTTTCAATGGCTTAAGCTCCTTTTGTTTATATTTGTAGTTTGTTTGTGTCAGTTGGGTTGTGTACTTTTTTTTTTTTTGGGTAAAGGGGACGGAACCCCGGAAAAATTTATTCAAAAAATTAAAACAAGACAAGCTACGAGGGGCATACCCCAAGGAACACAAAAACTAAGTGCCTTCTAAGAAAATGTTTAGGAAGGACACTTAACAGAGGTCTAGAACTAAAAACCATGTTAGCAAAATTGAGCCAACAATCCCAAGCAAAAATACAAGCCAAACAATAAATGAAAGTGATGGCCCAAGGCAAGGAAATAGGCGTATCCCACCGGCATCCAACAACATCCCTATCATTGCAGCCCATAATAGCTTTCCGCTTCCACTCCATATCCTCAAGCCCAATTAAAGCAAAAGAACTCCAAAGAATAGAATAAATGGCCCAATTACAAAACAACTTGAAGCCCAGAATAAAATCCATCATGTAGTTGATACTCCTCATCCAGCCCATGTCCACAAGCCCAAGATAGTTAAAGGAACACCAACAATTTAAATAGGCAGCCCAAAAAAAGATCACCTTGAAGCCCAAATGCCTACCAATCTCATGGTCCATCAATTTAGAATTGGAATTACCCAGCTTATCACAAAAACAGCCCCTCCAGCCACGCGACCAGAGTCTGCCCCCGAGCATCGACTCCTAATCTCTGTACTCTTTGGCTTGTTGTGGCTTGGTATGGTATGGTGACCTAGTCTTTTGTGTTTCAGTTTGGTAGGGTGTGGTTTAACACCTAATCTCTGTACTCTTTTTATTAGTTTATAAAATTTACCTGGTTCTTTTTTAAAAAAAAAAAGGTATGATCAAATTAAATATATTACCAAATTAGTGTCATTTTGAGTCAATTAATGAGAAAATGGGCCTAAAAACTCATTAGGGTCCAATCAGATTAGTTATGACCCATTTAGTGTCATTATGAAAAAATTGACTTGAATAAAAGAAACAGGCCCATGTTATACCCATTAAGGTCCAAATGGACCCATTAAGGATCCTTCAGAACCATTCTAACTCAGTTAGTCACATTAACGTCTAGTTAGACTAACTATGACCCATTTAGTGTCATCTTGACCCAATTAGGCTCCTTATGACAAAAAAAAAAAAATGGGCCAATTAAACCGCTTAGGAGCTAACGAGACTAATTATGACCTAGTTAGTGTCATTTCGATCGAAATGGACTTATTAAGGAGAAATGAGTCCATTATATCCACTAACACCAAATGGACTCATTCTACCTCAGTTACTCTCATTTATGTCTGATTAGACTAATATGACCCATTTAGGGCCAATATAACTCATTTAGACTCAAATAAAAGAAATAAGCCCATTATACATGTTAAGGCCTGATCAAACTACTCTATGATGGCGATCATGGTGAGGTTTTTGAAGATTGGATCTTGCTTGGTTGAGTTTTGGTTGCTTGCTTAGAGATCGATTTGTATCTCCTTGGATTTCTTTTAGGGTTTCTTGTCTTCATAATAATTCTAGAGTGGGTTTTGGATGGTTCTCGACAGATTCGCTCTATTGGTTTGATTGTTTTCTGGTTTGGTTCGATCGTATGTGCTTGGTATCCTTTGGGTGTTTTTTCATGGTGGTTGTCCTATGCATGGTTAGAATTTGGTTTTGGCCAAAACCTTCGTCTTCTTGTTGTTTTGCTGCTGTTTTTTCTTCGTACTTTCGGTATTTGTTGTTGTATCTGTTAATTTTCTGTTTTCTCCTCCCGTGTTGAGGGATTCTGTGGTCTTCGTTACCTTCCTCGAGTTTCCTTGATAGATATTCAGCACCTTGGTTTCCGGGGTCTTCGTCTATTCTAGTAAGGTTTCTTTAAGAAGGTTTTAGCACCATGACGTCTTGATACGCGGAATGGAAACGGTTGATAACGTTGGGCCCATGCATGTAGAATCGTCTAGGGTTTCTGTGTTTGAGAGACTTTTGTCTCAAGAGGAGGGTACGGTTGGTAGACAGGTTTTTGGCAAGAAGGGGGTGGAAAATGGGAAGTTAAATTTTGCCAAAGCGGTTAGGCATTCGGTGGCGACGGAGTTGCAATTTTATCCTCTCACTGACAAAAATCAAGCGAGTGTGACCATCCTAATTGAAATGGCTAAGGAGGTTGCTAAATCTTACCAATCGGTTCTTTATGGTTATTTTTTGGGACCCCGTATTCATTTTCCGATAGTGCAAAAATTTGTTAAGGCTGCTTGGGGAAAATTTGGGTATAGTGACTCGATGATGAATGAGAACAGGATTTTCTTTTTCAGATTTAATGATGAAGGAGGCTATTCTCAAGTGATTGAGGCGGGGCCTTTAATGGTAAGAGGAGTGCCATTGTTTGTCTTTCGTTGGGACCCAACAAAGGGGTTACGAAAACCGAAACATACTTCTTGCCCTTTGTGGGTTAAATTACACAAAATCCCTTTGGTGGCTTTCAATTAGGAGGGGGTCAATCGTATTGCAAGTGCCTTAGGCGTTCCGAAGCAAATGGATTCTTGCACGGCTGCTATGTGTGATAAGGCATGGGGACGTCCCGAGTTTGCTAAAGTTCTGATCGAGGTGTGGGCCGTGGGGTAATTTTTACATAAAGTTGAGGTAATGATTGTGAATCTTAATGGAGGGGAAGATGCAAAGGTGAACATAGAGGTGGAATACATTTGGGAACCTCTTCAGTGCTCCCATTGCCATGTGTTTGGACATAAAACATCTTCGTGTGTAAAGGTTGTTATTCATCATCGGGGAAAACAGCAAGAGAGAAAGAAGGATCTGGATGGTTTTAGCAGAGTCGAAAGACGTCAGTGGAGGGCCAAGGCGAATTGTAATCCACGACCTCCTAAGCTCCATTCTAAAAACTCTAGCATGGATGCTAGTACGTCAAGATCTGATCGGGTTGACAATATGGAAGCAAGCTCTCCTAGTGTGGAACCAATTGAAGAGGAGTTAAGTGACCAAAGTGGACAGACGATGCAATCCAAGCCAAAGGAATCAGGAAATGGGAAAAAAAAGGGAACCTAAGAATGCAAATAGTGGAGTTATTCTTAACCAATCCAAAGATGGTACTTCCGCCCCGCTTCTAGCTTATGTTGTGAAGACATTTTGGTTGGCTCGGAGAGGGACCTTGATTGATACCCCAGCGTGTTCAAACAGATTTGGGCCTTTAGAGAGCATGGAGGGAGAGGAAGCACGTGGAGGCATCAATGTGGCTACTGACAAAGAGAATTCTACGAGCACCATGATTGCGGACTCAAGGGATCATGTGGCGAAGGGATCAAATGTTGAATAATGTTAAAGTTCGCATCGTGGAATGTCTGGGGACTAAATTCCCCGGTCAAGCAAAGGGAGGAAATTTAATTCATTGTAATGGTTTAAATTTGTGTGCAATTATGGAGTCCCATGTGACTAAGGAGTACTTAGAAGATGTTTGCTCTCGAACTTTTGGTAGATGGTCTTGGATGTCTAATCAGTTGTCGTGGAGTTTGGTACCCGTCTTATTATTGCTTGGGACTTACAGTATTTAGATGTTATGGTTCTTGAGGTTCATGGCCAATTTTTGCATTGCCAACTTAATATGCGGGGGATTCAAGATCCGATTTTCATTTCGTTTGTTTCTGGGGCTAATAACGGTATTAAGCGGAAGAAGTTATGGTCGGGTCTCCGGAAATTCAAAGTCGTATTAGGGTCGAAACCTTGGGTTGTTTTAGGTGATTTTAATGTTATGTTGTTTCCGCATGATAGGTATGGAGGGTCCTCTCGTAGAAATGTTGATATGTCTGAGTTCTATACTTGTGTGGAGGATGTAGAGCTGTTTGATTTACATTATACGGGGATCCATTTCACATGGAATCAAAAACCAAATGAGGAGGGGGGTATTAGACGTAAACTGGATAGGGTGTTGGCTAATACGGAGTTTACACCAATGTTCCATGATGCCAATGTCCATTTCCTTCCTTGTGGTTTATCGGATCATTCTCCGGCGGTGCTAACCTTTAAAGGAGGGACTCGAAAGAAGATATGGGGTTTCAAGTTTGACAATTTTTTGGTGGAGCACCCGTTATTTTTGCAGATTGTGAAAAATGAATGGTCTAAACAAGTGGAGGGTTCTTTCATGTTTCGAATGACTAGTCACTTAAAAGCTCTCAAGACTCCTTTACGAAAGCTTCGGAACTCCTATGGCAATATGTCGGAATGGGCATCTTTTCTGAAATCTGATTAGATACGATTCAGGTGGCCGTGGACAATGACCCTTCTAATGAGGACTTGAGTTTCGAACTAGGCCATCTTCGGCTAGCCTACCAAAAAGCTTGTTGGGATGAGGAATGTGCAGTGAAACAAAGAGCTAAAGTAAAGTGGTTGAATGAGGGTGATTCGAATACCAAATTCTTTCATGGTGTGATCAAAGAAGGGAGACATGTTAATTATATTCAATTAGTGTGTACTAGTCACGGTAATTATGTGTATGAGGAGGATGTCCCTATGGTGTTTGTGGAGTACTTTAAAGGTTTTCTTGGTTTGAGGGATGATTTGGTTGATCTGAATATGCCAGATGATCTGTTTTCAAGGAAGCTCTCGTTATCGGATGTTAATCATACGATCCATCCTATTTCAAATGAGGAAATTAGATCTGCAATGTTCAGCATTGGTAATAATAAAGCTCCAGGATCAGATGGGTACTTTGCCCGGTTCTTCAAGGCTTCGTGGGACATTATTGGTCGTGATGTGGAGGTAGCCATTCATAACTTCTTTTATAGAGGTAACCTTGCTAAATAGCTGAATCACTCTCTCATTTGCCTGATTCCGAAATCTGTTAATGTCTCTAAGCTTTTTTACTATAGACCTATTACATGTTGTTCGGTTCTTTATAAATGCATTAGTAAAATCATTGTTAATAGAATGAAATGTCATTTGGATTCTTTAATTGATGGTTCCCAATCGGCATTCATTTCGAGGAGGAAGATAACTGATAACATTTTAATAGCTCATGAATTGATTTCGGGTTATCAACGAGAGGAGGGTCCTTCTAGATGTGCTTTCAAAATTGATATTAAATTGGACTGGAATTTTCTTCTCAATATGATATGGGGCTTTGGGTTCCACCTGGTTTTGATCAAATGGGTAAAGGAGATGATTTCTACTACCTCTTACTCGATAGCGGTTAATGGTGATACTTATGGATTTTTTCATGGAAGGAGGGGTATAAGACAAGGAGATCCTTTATACCCTTATCTTTTTACGATTGTAATGGAGGGGTTTGCCATGATTTTCAAACAATGCATTCGGGAGGCTAGATCTTTTGGTTATCATAAAGGATGTAAGGATTTGGACATGACGCACTTATGCTTTGTTGATGATCTTTTTGTGTTCACTAAGGGTGATATAGAGTCGGTTGAGGTTTTAAAGAAGACGCTTCATATTTTCAAGGAACATTTGGGTTTATCTCCAAGTCTTGAAAAAGCGAGGTTTTCTTTGGGAATGTTCCTTCTAATATTAAGGAGGCTATTCTCGTATGTCTTCCTTTTAAATTGGGCTGCTTTCCTTTTCGATATTTGGGTGTTCCTTTGTCTCATACCCAAATGAAATATGTTGATTATGGGCCTTTGGTTGCTAAGATCAATGGTAGGATTCTTAATTGAAAGGCTAAGTTCCTTTCTTTTGGAGGGAGGAGACGACTCATTATATCGGTCCTTCAATCGTTGCAACTCTATTGAATGTCTATTTTTTTTTGTTCCCTTCAGGTATAATTCATTTCATTGAAGCTCTCTTCCGTAATTTTTTGGTCACAAATGGAAGATTCTAGAGGAAGGTGCCGGTTAGCTTGGGATGTGGTTTGTCGGCCTCTTAAGAGTGGAGGTCTTGGTATCAAAAGATTGGCAACGTGGAATAGGGCTTTACTTGCAAAACATATTTGGGATATTGTGAGGCACCGTGATGCATTGTGGGTGAAATGGGTGTATCAGTACAACCTAAGATCGATACACTTCTGGATGGCTCGGAAAAGCTCAAACTGGTCGTGGGTTCTACGCAAGTTGTTGGATTTACGTCCACATGTGCGGCGGTTCTTGACAACTCGGATTGGTGATAGAAGGGATACTAACGCTTGGGAGGATAACTGGCTCCCTTGTGGCCATTTGTCCTCGTTCATTTCCTACAGATTTGTATATTCAAGTGGATTCTCGACCAATACTACGGCTCGGGAACTAATTCATATTCTGAACGAGGTGTGGCCTAATGATTGGTCTCTAAGGTACGATGTGCTGACCAATTATTCTTTACCGTCTTTGCATGATTATGAACGAGATAAGGTTTACTGGGTTGATAGTAAAAATGTTGGTGTGGAGTTCTCGGTTAAGATAGCTTGGTCTTCTTTGGTTAGGAATTACCCGTTAGTGCCTTGGCATAGTTCGATATGGTTTCTGGGGCACATCCATAAGCATGCTTTATGTTTATGGCTTGCATGTCATCAACGTCTCCCTACCTAGGATCGTATGATCTGGAATTGTAATTTACTTTCAGTAATGAGTAGCTAATTTCATTAGCTTGGGTGTGAGACAAGGGATGAGATTTTAAACCCTAAGAAAGTGGGCGTTGTTTTGCAATAACAACGTTCCACCATTTCATTTCAAGTTCTATAAAATCAGTGCCACTTTTTGATAACTTGATCACTTTGAAAGTGTTAAAGTGTCGTGGTTTTAGAGATAAAGCACTGAATGAATGTCAATTTGAATGACATGATAAGTTGACTTGAGAAAGTTGCTAACAAAAAGATTTGTTGTTTATGTTTTTCAAACTAAAAAATTCTCGACGAGTTGGTCACTTGTTAAGGTGTTAGAGTGTAGTGGACTCAGAGATGAGCCATTTTGAATACATCAACTTGGATGATATGGGAACCAGTTGGAGAGAGTTATTGTTTAACAAAGAGAGTTGTTTATTCATATATTTTGAGGACATCATTTCACACCATTATTGGGCCTGATACCACATAGAGATATAGTTGAAAACTATAATATTAGTGCAATGGTTAAAGTCCGAGAGAAACATCCTCAAAATAAAGGTGGAATTAGTTATGGCTTACTGCATGTTGTAACATTGTATGCTGAAATTTGTGTTTATGACTCACCACAAGTCTTACACCCATGTTACCTTTATTTATGTTGTTATTTGCAATTGCTACTTCAACAACCAAACAAAGTCTTCACAATCATCATCTGAAACCATTTTTTTGTTCTACTTCTATTAAGCTTTACTACGATCCTTGTGGATGATACTCGGTATTTTATACCGTTTACTTGGAAGACGATTGGGCTACTTGCTTTTAGTTCCTCTTATCGCCCATCCCCACCTACCCCACCCCAACCCTCAACCCACCATTGATCACCATGTCACTATTGTTGTCATTACACCCACCCAACCCTGGTCACCCGCCCCACATCCCTCTTACAACGATAGTGGCATGGTGGTCGATAGGGGTGGGGTGGGGTGGGGTGGTAGCTGTAATGACGACAATAGTGGCATGATGGTCGGTATGGGTGGTCCAAACAAATGTGAAGATTTCAATTCTTTTAAGATATTATATTCTAATTCATACCAACCAAACACATGGTCAAATTTTATTTCAATTCCTTCAAAATCAAATTCTTTTAATTAATTCTAATTCCATAACACCTCCTAAAAGTAGAGGGGCCATTTAGAAAAGCAAAAGAAACACCCAAAACAACCCTCACTTTTTACTTTTTTAAATTTTGCCACCCATGTTTCTTGTGAACAACAAAACCGCCGACAAGATATTAATATTAAGGGGACCAAGTAGCAAATACACAATTACAATCTTTCTCCTTCACCCTCCACAACCCCCCTTCTCCCTTCTCCCTTCTCTCTTCTCGTTTCGCTCTCTATCATCACAGCCAGCCATGGCTATGCCTGAGCACCACCAGTTCCACAACTACCTTCAGCAACAGCAGCAGCAACAGCAATCGAAACCTTTCAGGTATTGTTCTTGTTCTTGTTATTGAAATCCCCCTTGTTTGTCGATTGTAAAACCCTAGAACGTATGATTTCTGTCATAATCTTGTATTTTGTCTTTCTATTTCGATGTATAGAGATATATTCAACAACATGGAAGGTCAGATTTCAGCGCCGATCAACTATATAAACGCCGATCAAGCTCATCACCCCCCTTACATTCCTCAATGTAAACCCCTTTCTCTTTGTGTAGCCGTCACGTTTTCAATTATTTGGTTAATTGAAGTTGAAATTTTGCACTAATCGTAAATAAAGTTGTTAATTTTTGTTTTGATGCAGTTCATGTGGTAGGGTTTGCACCAGGTACGGACGTTAGCGATGGAGGGTTCGACTTGCAGCGGAATTATGATTTAGATTCGAGAAAGAAGAGGCCGAGAGAGCAAGAGTTTTTGGAAAATAATAATACAAATTCTCAGATATCATCTATTGATTTCTTGCAACCTCGATCAGTTTCAACAGGGTTAGGCTTGTCTCTTGACAATGGTAGGTTGGCTTCATCTGGTGAGTCTTCTTTCGTTGCTGGGCTTATGGGAGATGAAATTGATAGGGAGCTGCGGAGACAGGATGCTGAGATTGATAGGTTTATGAAAATTCAGGTATATTTTGTGGTAAAGATTCCATTTATATGTTCACTTCTATTTCACATTCAGTGCAAAAGGAAATAATTTGGTATATGCTCTATATCCTTTTCAGGAAAAGAATAGATATGCTACGACTTGTTTCAAATTGGCTTTGTATGAAACGATCTTGTGAATATGTGTTTGCATTCTCATGACTTATTTCTATTTTGTGGGTGAGCAATAGATATTGATCTAGCATTGCTGCTGTTTGAGAGTTCAACAACTTTATACATGAGCAAGATTTCAGCTATTTATGTATTTCCGTGCCCTACTTATGACATGCTATTAGGCATGCCTATTGGTTTGCACATACAATTTGAGTAATCAATAATTACATTTTGATGATAATCTGATTCTTCAATATTCTGGTCAAACGGAGTGTTTCTGATCCGAATTTGTAAGATTTTATCATCTGCATTTTGTTATTAGGATTCTTCCCTTCAATGGGGAATGCATGTTTTTATGAATACTTCCAGAATATGTTTAAAATGTCATTGCATTATGACATGGTTCTGTGCTCATACTATATTTGGATTTGATATTTAAACATCCGTATCCAAGTTTTGCCATATTTAACAAATGACAACTAAATGGATTCCTCGTTTGAAATTATACCAAGATTGTATTAGAGACATAGATTCAAGGAGGCAGTGGGTTGACGGCATGGCACATATCTGAAGAAGAGTAAATTCACCCAACAGATTGCTCCAGTGACTTATTTTTTGAATAATAAAATTGCACTCACCTTTCTCAGTTTTGGGGCTAGTTACAGCCACAGTGTTTAGGAATTATTAGATCCGATACCCTTAATGACGTTATACTTCGACTGGTTTTTAGTTGAAAAGGGGAATTGTAGTCTTTATACCAATTCTCTTGAGAAACCTCACCCAGAGCAACCCCCTCCTTGCTTACCAGATAAGCATCTTGGTCAGCAATGTGTGTTGTTAGGTAAACAACCACTATGTAACTCTCTCTCCATCCACTGCTTGACCCGTATGTCTCAAAATGCTGAAGCAGTAGAGGATCCTTTAACTCAAATTATTTTTGTTTACGTTCTCTTATCTATCTCACACACATGTAAGCCCTACATTCTGCCAAACTGTGGATTTAGACTAGAAATCAACAAAGCACCACTAGGAAAACCATCGTAGTTGATGAATCTTTCTGATATTTTCAGTTTTGATTCATAATACTTGCTTATGTACGACTCTTCATCACATCTGGAACATGAATTTTGTGGGATACAGAAAAGGGTACGTTAATCCAATTGAACATATGTTTTGGTTACGTTAATCCTTGACTGTTGGAGGGGAAGTAAGATTTATGTAGGTAGTGGTCCTAGTAGTTGTGATTGTGATTATGCCAATGAGTGGCTTCACGTCCCCGTGACATGGCARCACATGATTTCAACAAGAGAATAGTAAGAGGTTCTTGGTTTTGACAGCAAAGGAAGTAGACAGAGTTGAGTTTGAGGCAGACGATTACCATTAGTGTTGTGGTCCTGATGACTGTGACTGT